GTTTAAGCAGATTATTATTTCAAATTAACTTTGAATGATATATTTTATATTTGTTCTTATATTTATACTCATTTAGATATTGAATGATAAATACACCCCACATTTTAAATCAATTTTGTTCTAATTCAAAATTCAACTTCATTAAAGTAGATTCACTTTACTGAAGTAGATTCACTCTACAGAAAGCTTCATTAAGGTTGCCTTCCAGTTTAACAGAATAACAAATAAAAAAGTACTTAGAAAAGTACAAATACCTTTAGTACCAAATAAGACATGTCTATAATCTATATATTAATGTCATATATTTTGTAAAAAGGCTTTATAGTAAGACGGATAGTTGAAAGTTTGAAACCCTCTGGTCGATCAAGGTTAAACATAAATGATAAAATGAACTACTAACTTTCCTTTAAAAGTATGCTTGAGTATAGTAGATCATAATCTGCCTCCGTAATTGGAAAGCAAACTAGAAATTGTGTTGTCATACCACTGTGGCGATAAAATATTATTCCCGCATGGACAACTTTGAACGAACAAAACTGACGATATTTTAGAGCGATCTGGATAATTTTCGTTTTAAAAGTATTAATATAACATCTTGTACCCACAGTGTAGCGATCAGCTTGGTAAAACGTCGCAAAGTATCTCAAACTCGGCAAAATTCAGCTTGGTTCACGTTGTTCGCCATACATTTCTATAGTAATTTGTATCGCTCCGTGGTCCCCGGAAGTGATTTTCGCATATATAATTTGGCTTCACTTTTCACACCTAGAGAAGCTATATCCAGTCTACTATTAGATCAGTGCTTGTAACTAGTTACAAAAATATTGAAGTAATTTTGTAACGGCAACTCGTTACATTTTTTTAAGTGTAACTTTTACCAGTAACTAGTTCCTTTTTGGGGGATGTAACTGTAACTGTAACTAGTTCCATAAAATGAGTAACTTTTACAGCACTGCTGCTTGGCTAAGTTGCTCTCACAAATTGATACATCCGACCCACTGTCAAGGAGTGCGTAAGTCTCAATTTCTTGTGTTGAATTTTGCCCACGGACTTTAACAGGAACTATTCGAAGGCGTACACCTAACCTGAAGTTCAGGCCCTAATCACAGAATAGGGCCTGACACAAAACCTATCTAAAGTGTGGGATTCCCGTCCATCTGGTGGACGGGAAATCTGATTGGTTGATCAGCATTATAAAGGATTTTGATTGGTTGCAAGTTTACATAAACAACAGTTTTAAAAATAGCTCGGTCAACGCGACAATTAATATAAAGGTCAAACGCACGTAACAAATTCCATTATCGATTTCTCCGAATTTCTTTTTCTTTTATGATTTATGGCAGAAAATAAATCAAACAAACAGTATTTTGAAAGGGCTTTATCAAAATCTTGGACGAATTTTGAACACACGACGCCGAAAGAACAACCAAACTAAGTCATGTATTCGAAAGCTTGTTGTTGACAGCCATGATGTTCTGCCAACTGGCTTCGCCGGCAAAAGTCTTATTTTTAATATCAGGTCCTACCGGCGTTGTTTTCTGAGCCACATCGCCTTCTTTGTGGTGCGATTGAGAATTTCATTGTTGCTGTTGTTAGCCTGTTTTAATAAAGTATATCCCTAATATCCGCGTCCAGCAAGTTGAGACCTTGAGAAAGCTTGGCAGTCAAGCCGTGCACAGAACTGACTAATTAAATCTTTGTCTGAATCTTATTTATATAAAAGTACCTTGAATTTTTAAGTTTAATTGAAGCAAAATGCACACTCTGCGGACATGTTCATGAGAATATAATTTTTTTGTGTAACGAAATCTACAACACTTGTCAATCATATTCATGTTGTGTCTAAAAATAACATGTGGGCGTCCCACGGTCTAGACAGGTTTTGTGTCAGGCCCTATTTCAAATTAGGGCCTGAACTTCAGGTTAGCGTACACCAGATCTACCTGCCCCAGTAGCAGTACATTGACCATCCCCAATTTCGCCTTTACGATTGTCTTGGTTTTCATTTTCCCCATCATCATTTTGTTCTTCAACTGATGATTCATTCTTCGATTTAGTTTCGTCTGGGACAGGATGCAACAGACTATGGTGCCGCTGCTTACATCCGGCTACTAGACAGGCATTTCTTTTCCTACATTTCTTCACAAAATGTCCTTTACTAAGACATAACATACACAATTTTTCCTTACGAATTAACTGCTTTCTGACTTCAAATGATTGACTCCTAAACGTATAGCATCTATCAACGGTGTGACCATTCTTCTTACAGTAATGACACTTCACATGATTGTACTCGTCTTTCGAATTTTCGTTAGAACCATGAGTTGTAAACGATGTTCCACTGCTACCTTTCCTGTTCCTTAACTTCTGATCATCTGGAGGCCTAGAACCAATCAATTGACCGTACGCACTGTTAGCTAGCTTTGCTTTCTTTGTGATGTAATTCATAAGGTGTTGAAACGTAGGGGTCTTGTTGTTTTCAAGTAAGATATAAGCTTCCTTTGCCCAGTCAGCTTGTAGATATCTTGGTAATCGTGTAACAATTTTTTCTAAGTTACTTTGAGCATTAATCTCTGATTCACAACCGAGTTGTGTTAAATTTATTTGACAATTCTCCATGTCCCGAGCCAATTCTAGCAATTTACCACTTTTTCCGTCCTTTATCGAACCACCTTTTATCACTTTATTTATATACGCATGAATAATAATATGACTCTGGCCAAATGAATTGTACAGTATTTCTTTAGCTCGCCTAAATCCTTCATGACCTGGTAAAATGACGCAATTACTTATGGCTTCTTTGGCAATATCGCAGGCATTAAAATAGCGTGTCCTTGTACACACTTTGTGTCCTTGTAAAAGGCGAATGTGCCCTTGTAAATTGAAAAGTGTGTACTTGAAAATATATTAAACTGAAAATATATCAATGAAATCCACGCAAAATAGCCAAAGATTTTAAAAATTCTGTTCTCAGAACTCTGGAAATGCCATTTCAGAGACCCCCTTAAAACCTCACGTTTTCGACGCTAAACTTGTGGCTTCGGCACTCGTTCTCGTGAGTCTGCGCATTTATACCACAAATACGCCTCTGAAGGCAAAGTGTGTCCTTGTAAAAATTCCGTATTTTAATGCCTGCAATATCGGTACAAAATTGTATAAGATACGCCAATTTTGCTTGAGAATTCTGTTCTCTTTCTTCTATATTGACTCTAAAATTCTCCATAAATCTTGGATAATTCATTGGGTTTCCGTCAACGTCATATAATCACGCTTTGGCATTTCGAACCCTCTACTAATTGATGTACCCAAGGTCTGCGCCATTGTGATCAATGATTCTTGTTGTCTTTGTAGAATACATTGCAGCTGTTCTGAATATCCAGGTTCACAACCATGTATTGTTGATTCATTTGCTTCATGGACATCGAGTCTTTCTCCTTGTCTTGGCACTGTTCTCCGATTCTCTGTCCGTTCCATTCGTCGCCGTTCTTGTTCCCGCAGTTCCACGTCCCGTTGTTCCGCTTCACGCCGTTCCGCGTCCCGTCGTTCCGCTTCACGCCGTTCCACGTTCCGTCGTTCCGCCTCACTCCGTTCCACGTTCCGTCGTTCCGCTTCACCAGGCTTAAATCCTTGCCAATTTCGATGAGATAAACTTGGAGCGAAGGCATCAGTACGTAGTGGAATCGGTGGGGACGATATTTCTTTACGTAATAAATGGGACCTTTGTGGACTACGGCGATAATTATACAAAGGATCGTTCATTATAGCATCCGGGTCATCCTCTTGAGCAACGTTACCGTTGTGAAAGTATTACTTTTTCAAGAAAACTTTCTGGACAAACACATCCCACATTACATTTAGATGGCAATGCTTTACGAGAAGTTAATTCTCATATTCATCTAGGATTGAAACTTACGTCAAATTTTACTTGGAATCATCATATTCAAAATATACATAAAAAAGCTAGCAAGATGATGAATCTCTTAAAAAGTGTAAAATATAAGCTCCATAGATCAACTCTTATCTCATTATATAAAAGTCTTGTTAGACCTCTGATGGAATATGCTGATGTCATCTGGGACGGATGTACTGAAAGTGAAGCAAATCTTTTAGAGGGAATACAGAACGAATCGGCTCGTATAGTTACTGGAGCAATGAAAGGAACAAACAGGGTACGATTACTAAACGAATTATGCTGGGAAGATCTAAAAACTAGACGATTTCTACATAAATTATCGTTGCTTTATAAAATAATAAACGGCCTCACTCCATCCTACCTTCGTGATCTTTTACCTCCATATGTCTATCAGAGATCTGATCACCACCTTAGATCTAATGAAAATTTTACCTATATTCCTACTAGTACCGAACGTTTTAAAAAATCTTTTTTCCCATCAGTAATTGCAGCTTGGAATGAATTTGATAATGACTTGTGTAATGTAGAATCATTACTATTATTCAAAAGTAAACTATATAATGTATTTTATGGAATGAAATATAATACTCTCTACAACACCTCGTTAAATCGATACAGTTCAATACTACATAGTAGACTTCGCCTAGGTCATTGTGCATTGAATTCGCATTTATATAGTATTAACTGTGCAATTTCTCCATATTGTAAATGTAGATGGGGAATAGTGGAATCAATTAAACATTTCTTTCTGCACTGTCCCCGATATGCTGCTCAGCGACAATGTTTGCTTTCCTCGTCTGCACAGTTGCTCCACGCTACGTGGTTGAGCTTATCGGAAGATCAGATAGTCGAAACATTTCTATATGGTTCACAAATACTTGGTTATGAAGATAATCAAACTTTGATGCGGAATGTTCAACTGTTTATTCTCCAAACTAAGCGATTTATTAATTGAATTGAATATTAATACGTAATAACTTATCTTTAGGTTTTGAGATCTCCTCACTGAGCTTAACTATACTTCTTTTTCTTTATAATTATTTCATCATGTTTGTGTATACCTTTTGTTTAAACACGATGTACTCTAATGTTTTAAATAAGTCAACATGATCTCCCTCGATGAGCCTAGCTCTTGGAGAAAATGTTGAGAATAAAATGTTTAAATAAAAAAAAAGAAAAGGTGGGGTAATAAATACGCCACGAGTCTCCTTGGGTAAAGGAGGCATACCCCATCCAATCGTTACAAGGTATGAGCAGACACAGTGAGGTTAAAACCTATAAAAAACAACTCCAAAGCGAAATCAGTGCGTGGATTATTACTGTCATTATTAAGCAAAAACATGGTAAGCGACCGCCGACAGTTTGTGCCCATGCGTTAAACTGCCAGGGGACCGCCAACCTGCTAAAGCGAACGGTTGTGTAGAAGCCTTGCCCATGCGTTAGCCTCACAGAGAACGTTAATAATTCAAGCACGTTAGGTGAAAGAACAGCCCGAAAATAAGTAAAACACACACCAAATCATTGTGGGAGAATGGGTTCAGGGTGAAGTGAACCAATTATATACATTATACTCTCAAACTGTGGTCAACCCAAAGACTCATTAAGCCTTATGTTTTCATCCCGCAGGCGTATATATAAGACCTGCTAGGAGAGACTGAATGCTCCATAGGAGCTCTGCCCGAAGGGTAGCGACCCCCTCTGACATAGACCTGAACCAAGGGGCGATAATCCCCTTGGACAGTACCTACCTATATTTACATAAATAACCTGAGTCTATGGGCCTGAAGATGACCATTGGGAACACGTCAACCCCACAAATACACAGCATGTGTATTCCCCATAGGCGAACTCCCACCACAGCTGTATTTGTATACAAGACAGCTGCTGCCAGATGATAGTTAGACATATATTTGGGCATTACCATCACTCATACTATAGCTGGATAGTCAGGGAGGCCAGAAAAAACCTGGAATATACAGGAAACCTGGATGGGGCCAAGACAACCAGCAGCTTCCCCACAAAGCTTCTATCTTACAATTTTTTAATTGGAGGGTTGGTAACACGACAAACAAAGCTCACTATCGAGGCACATTTTATTTATTTTTATTTTATTTTTTTTTTAAAGTTAATGTGTTCATAAATACGTTTTGCACAACATTTATTTGTTAACCACACTTATTTTATTTCAATTATGATCAGTGGAACTTTCTCGAATTATGTGACATTACTCTCAGAAAAATAGCTTATTCATTACTTTAATTCAAAATAGCAAGACCAAAATTTTGCGAACGAACATCCGATCATGCATGCATGATATTAGCAGAAAGAAATTGTAAGAATATGTATGTGGTAGCCAAAATAGATTATATGCAGTAAATAATAGTACATCAAAGGATTTTCAATTTTCAAAAGCGTAGGCATACATGGTATCGTACCAATCTTTCCTGATATCCATCTTGCCGATTTATCGCAAATGTGCATAAACATATATCATATGCAGAGTTTTAAGTCTCAAATTTCGTTCACAAATGAGCTTGCTTTCTTAAGTTTTGAACAGTAAAGTATTGAAAATGTATGCAGGTCAAATTAATTTTGTGAAATAGCTGAAAAAGAAGTTTTATAATTCTACTTTTGAGCGATTGAATACAGTTTAATGTAAGGCCTGATTGAAACCCAATCCAACGCCAAATCTGAGGCGTAATCTGAAGCTTTTTGAATCTGCGGCTAACCTCAAGGTAGTAATAAAATTGTCATTGGAATTTTTGATCGACAAATATAAATACACCAGAATCACAGAATGTTGTTATAAAATAGACGAATTTGAATACATTTTGGTTGGTTTGAGATGCGGAATATGAAACAAACGTGTCAATGCACCGCATACTTACGCGCCGAATACCGCTTCACTTTGGGAATCATGTGCATTGAGACATGGAATGATATCAATTGAACGCTTGTTGATTTCATGTTTAGCGGCTTTAGTCTATCGATCTTGTTGATATTCCCCCAGCGGCGGTTTCATTTAATGGTAATAACTTCGTTGGGACTTGGGCGCTTGTCCGGTAGAGTTCTATTTGAATAAACTGCGTCTCACTGAATTATCATACTGAGTTACTGACCAAATTTTCTTTAATATAACCATATGTCAATTCCAGCGTTCATAGACTCTTTTATGTCACATTGTCTCAGTTCATTCGATGTCCGTAATTCTTTACAGCTCCGCACCAAGTCAAATTTTCAAATTTTCTTTCTCAGTAACAAGACATTGCTCTTTGTTGGGATATTTGTCAAAGTGAACTCCCTTATCACATTGACCTTTGTTCTGCGTGTTCGTTGTTGACATATGATTGGTCAGTTGATCTTTCATTCGGTTTTACACATGCCCAGGGAAACATTTGAACTTTGGACTATTGGATATCGCCTTTTTGTGGCTGTTGACAAGCTTATCCTGTTACTATGAGATTATAACCAGGTTTGAAGGTGACAAACGTGTTGTCTCATTAACTTGAATTTATATATTGTTATATACTAGAAGTTACTATCGCAAGGAAAGTGCTGCCTCACCCCCAAGGGATCAAAGGCAGTCTGCACAATTTGCTGAATAAGGGGCTGTTTATATGATCCCGCTTTGCCAGGACAAGTACGAGGCGGATGAATTCGATGTATTGAAAGAAGTTATGGTGCACGATTCAACAAAAACTTCATTATTTTCTAGAGATAGTTTGTAGTTAACTGTAAACGAAAGTATATTTTGTGTTCAATATATAGACCACAGTACCTGAAGTAAATCTCCGAAACGTCGTTTGTTAATGTAATAAACACATTTAAAAAAAGTCTTACTGTGGTCTATATATTGAACAAAAAAATACTATTAACATGAGGCTCAGGGAAAGTTCATTCCTAAACATTTTGTAAACGAAAGGTTTTTTCAAGCACCAATAATAATCTTCTTGAACACAAGATCTTCTTTACAACATTTGAGTTCGGTTAACCAGCATTTAAACTTTTGTTTAGCCCAGTGACTTATTTCAATACAACAAAATTTCCCACCTTCCCGCATTATGTAAACAGCCCCTAAGGCGTTCAGGGGGCAGGAATTCTATTTTTTGGCATGGGCAGTTTTGCATGAATACCTTCAATGCTTATAACGTCTTGCTTTTGTATGTATAATTATAATGCTGTCAGTGGTGAAGATAGCCATAGCAACAGGTCATGCTATGCAAGTTTTTAATGATTTGTTTGATTCAAATAGATGCAAGTTTATCAGCATAGGCATAGCATGACCAGTTGCAATGACTAGCTCGCCACTAACCAGAGATCAGGCTCTATTTTACAAATATAGCCTGACACAAACATTAATGTGATAGCTTTCCACCCACAGCAAAGTTTATATTTAGTATCCAATCAAAATGTCGCAAGAGAAATTTAAATTTCACACAACGACAACAATCTAATTATAGTTGTGCTCACTATAAAATATATCATCAACAATAGTATAAATATCTAATTAGCACCAACCAATCAAATGACAGATTAAAAAATCTTTTGTCTCATAGACCAATCAGATTTACAACCGAATATGGCTGTAAGGCATGTTAAGGTTTGTATCAGGCCTATTTATTTATTTATAGGCCTGATCGCAGGTTAGCTCACCACTGAATACTGTACAATATCATATATTTATATACATAAACGATAATAATACTTGAATGAATCATTGGACATGTAGAATTTAATAACAATTTCATGTATAGAAATACTATACAAAACTACCCCTATCGCAGAACAACTGACATTTTTGTTTAATTTAATTAATCCATCAGCTTCATATGACACCATTCATTTGTAAAGATTAAGATTGTACTCAGTCAGAACTTCAAAACTATATAATAAGAAAGATATTGTGAGCATTATTGAAAAAAATATAGTGTACCCTGAAATGTAATAACACAGCCAGGTGAATATATGACTGTATTATGTAGGCCAGTCCTATCTCAGAGATATATTTTTACAGACTGTCATACCTTGTACAAAAGTCGGTTGACATGCTATTACATGTATTAACTGCTGGTAAGTTAATATTTCCAGATAACCACAGGTAGATTTACTGGGGGGTTAGGTATGGTTAACTTCCCCCTGTAATCTCTCTAACCCCGAGGTCTTATAAAATGTTCAACACTTCAACCCCACCAAAATTTCGCTTCACCCCTCCTATTTTGTGTGAAAAAGTCGTTAACCCTACACCCGAAGCTCTACTAGATTCACCCCTACTATAAATAATGAAAACACGCCCTTGCAGGCAACAATCCAAACTGGATTGCTATATCATTCCACGTAAACTTGTTTTTAAAACGTGATGAAAGCACATTGCTATAAACATGTAGAATAAACACTAAACTCAACGCCTTGGGACATCACCACACAAACAAATAAACTATTTATACTGTAGTTTATCATGATAAATTCATGCTGATAGTTCTGCATGAAATTATAGTGTTCTAAATATAAACGCACATTGCTATAAACATGTAGAATAAACACTATTCACTAAACTCATCGCCTTGGGACATCACCACACAAACAAATAAACTATTTATAGTTTATCATGATAAATTCATGCTGATAGTTCATTAAATTATAGTGTTCTAAATATAAACGCCTTCGGCTTCATGTATATTTATCGAAGTGCATGTCTATACAGCTGGTTTTGCATGATGAAAATGTAAATCATATAGTGTTTATACGTACTAAATTAAATATAATTTCGCTACCAGAAAGAAATAAAGCTATCCTTACCTGAATTACTGAAAATATCGGCGATGTTTTGCATCATGGACATGTAAATAAGCTAGCTTTAATACTGCCTGATATTCTGCTGATATTGATATAAAGCTAGAACTTGATGCTTGATCGTGTTCAATACAAAATATAAAAGTTTGACCGCCCCCCTCGTTTAAAAAAATTTCCTGAAGCCTTAATTATTTCCCCGGAATTACGACAAACATCCGACAGACAGACACAAAATCGAGATCTCGACAATACATAACTCGGGTAAAGAGACTGGGCACAAGTAAACGCGATACTTCATGTTAAGAATAGTGTGCTGCCTTCGGCAGCAATAAATTTGCTTAAAACAGTGATTAAGTGACACGTACATTTCTAGTATCTTAACACGCACATTCCTATATTATATCAAGTCTTGCCCTTGCGTCAACTTGACAAAGTGTACTAATTACTAAACGGGTTTATCAACAGGCAGCCACAATCAATCCCTACAAAAAGCCCGGCCTGTATAGTCGAAGTGTCTGATTTAAGTCACAAACTAGGAGCACGAATATACTTGCGGAAAGCGTCGGATTTCCAACGGCCCATTAGTCGTATTTGGGAAAAACCGCATTCGGCAGCGAATGTAGCCACGCCGATGCGAAAACTATGTCCTTTGTACCTGTTTGCATCGAGACCGCACGTGCGAAATATGATAGCTAAATGGTCTGTGAACATTTTGTGTGAAATTGCATGCCCGTCACGAGTTTGAAAAAGAGGGCCATCAGCTAAACCACGATGTGCAAAATAGTCTAGTAAGCTCTGCACTGGGCATACGTCTGAACGTCGTTGAAGAGTGAGCGAGACGTTAGCTTGTTTGTAAGAATGCTTAAAATTCAAAAATGTTATTTTTAAACCGCTGACGTTTCCCGCATTATCCATGAGTTGAACGACCTGCCTCAATTGCAGTACGTCCGGTGACCGTGGACAACAAGTGATTTCGCCAACTCGCAAAAAGGCAAAAAATGCGGTCGTGCACATAGCTTTGAACAAGTACCCCCGATACTCACTCGTTGGAGTTTGCTGTAAGACGGTGCGAAGGTAGGGAGAGTTATGGGCAAGCGTGTATCAATGCATGACCCAAGCTTACCATAGCCTTTTAACATTTCGACAATCCAAAAAACTTTAGTTGGGTCGTTCACCCCTGCAAGACGATGACAATATCCCAGCGCAGAAACTTACGTGTTGGCCGTCGAGGCCGCATAATTGCGTTGAAACATGTACGAAATAAATAGGCTTAAGTTGGCGGGCGATATAGGCAGTGAGCCGAGTGAGACTAAAGCTGAGTAAAAAACTGCACTTGAAAATTGGCTATATAGTTTCCAGGCCCGGCGATAAGTAGGGACCGACGATGGCTGCAAACTAGATTGAAGTAATTTAGTTGTTAGAGCGGCCAGTTGTACGGGAGTAGTTGGGCTGGTATAACCGTTGGTGACGATTGTACACCCACCGGAGCTAACTGTTTGAACTTCGAAACCTGCAATCGAGATAAAGCATCAGCTAAAACATTTTTGACACCCGGTACATGGCGAGCGCGGAATAAAATGTTAAATTTCAAACAAGCCAGCACCAGTCGGCGAACAAATATCATAACAGTCACATCGCGTGAAGTGGCTTTATTTATAGTATCGACCAATGCCGCATTATCCGTAAAAAAGGTGATACGCTGGTTTCGCATCTTATCTCCCCATACGAGTACGCTGAGTACAATTGGGTAAAATTCCAAATCGCGATGTTTAATTGCCTCCAATTGGGGGGCCACACACCGAAAAACCACTCATCGCCGAATACAGCACCGTAGCCCAAACTACCGGCAGCATCGGTATATATGTTTAAACTGAAGGAATCATTCCAAACATCACTGAGAAAAAACGATCGGCCATTAAATTCGTCCAAAAAGGACTGCCAGATGACCAGATCGGCCTTAACCGATTTAGTTAGACGAAGAAAGTGGTGCGGGAACTTGATGCCTTTAGTCAAATCAATAAGACGGCGCAAGAAAGCCCGACCAGGGACAACTACCGAGCAAGCAAAATTAAGTAAACCAGTTAACGATTGTATTTCGCGCAAAGTAACTTTTTTGCGACGCAGAAAGCCAGATATTAGAGACTTGCATTTATCGGTCTTGTCGCCTGGTAAACAGGCCTCCATGCGCAAAGTATCTAATTCAATGCCAGCAAAGGCGAGAATAGTTTGTGGGCCAACAGTTTTGTCCGGTGCGATTGGTATGCCTAAATATCTACAGAGAGATAAGAAGCGGACAAGGTCAATGCGACATTGGTGATAAGTAGGTGACGCCATTAGATAATCATCAAGAATGTGGATTAGATGTGGGATTTGCAAGTGTTTCTTAGCAACCCATTCGATAGCAGTGCTAAACATCTCGAAAGTGCGA